CTTATTTCCAAATCTTATCAAAAAAAAATTTATTTAAAAATATCAATTTTTTAAAAAAATAGATCAGAAGTATTTTTAAAATAAGCAGCTAATCGTATTGCTTGATCCATTGTAGTTTTTAGATCTGTTGATGTTTTAAAGACTTCGCTTATACATAAGTTTAGCTGGTGCGCATAGTATGATAAGAATATAATGCTTCTGTGATCGAGTCTTAACCTTCGCCTAATATTCATGTAAAGATAAATAAAAGGTGGATTAAATGAGTAATGCCAAGAGAAAAGGCACTCCAATCATATAAATTTTATATGATTGAAGCGACTTTTCTCTTGGCATTACTCACATAATGAAGAAATGAAACAAAAATACCTGGACGCTGCATATGGGCCTGCACTGTCTGTAACAACCGCGGAGACCTTGACATTCATATTTTTTAATTCATTGATCATCGCATTTGTCTTTTCTATGACATTGACATGCAATTCTCTCTCTAAGCTAATATCAGTAGCCTTTCACACATATGGCTTATCATTTGATGTAATAACCATTACTCCTAATAGTTGTTCATTTCTTACATTAGTCCAACCATCAAAGGTCAAGGTAATACTAATTTTATCTTTACGAATTGCATCTTGTATTGCTTTATTCTCTTCAGAAACAGCCATTTCTAAAATCTTTCCACTGAGGGACTGACGATCCGGAAGCTTAAGGTGAAGATTTAAAAATTCAAATAGTTCTTTCGCTTCTGGCTTATTTACCTAGTGAAAAGCCCACCCACATGATACAGTCAATCTTAATATAAGAATTTTGAATTTTTTATAATCTTGTTGAAACAATTGCTTAACAGCATAGTCGTCAAGTGGCCCATAAGTGAAAGTTTGTGTAATAGGCTTTCGGAGCGTGTTTGTGGCATCATAAGATGAACTGGGAGTAGCTAAAAAAAAAAATAAAAAATTTAGTATATATATTTTAAAAAACAAAAATCTATATATAATTCTTACTTGATTGTTTGTTCTAATCATTAGATAAATTAAAAACCTCCTTTCTCTCTTCCGGCGTAGTTTTTTCCGCGAAATGCTTACATTTTTTAAGATGCTGAATTATACGATCCGTTTTGTTAGAAAAACAACTTTTTTGCTCTTCATCTTCGCCCAATTTTTCAACACACGCCTTGCAATAGAATTTATAATTCCATTTATTGAGTTTTTCTTTAGTTTTAATAATGTACTGATCCAATAATGTAGGTATTGGCATTTTTATTTTATAAATCTGGGTATTTTAGCTGCTTTATATTAAAATAATTTAATTATTAATTCTACAATATATGTGACATTAAACCAGCGAACACGCATTATTCTCGATGTTAGACTTATATCTTCAGAAGGTATGTTTATTTTGTTTAGATAAATTTAGGCTTACTGCTTTATTATTACTTTATTTAAATGTTTTTTTTTTTTATTTAAAGATGAACACTATGGATAATATGGGAAGTGAAGTAATAACCTTAGTTAATGATTCTTATATATTTTATCATTTGATCATTTATTTCTTTTCAGTGATTCTCTTTGGCTATGGCTTTTAAATGCTTTACGCGAAATTTTTTTGATCCACAGATAAAGAATTAACAAGTACGTGGCTAAAAAGGTTTGTTTTATTGAATGTTCTGTTATCATTATTCTTTGTCTTTTTACATATCCCAACTCAAGAATCAGATACTAAATAAGTTAACTTATTGTTTACGTATATAAGTTTTAGCTGATATACTACTAATGATCTTACTAATTAGTTAGAAGCCTACTTAGTAAGTTTATCCCGACTTGTTTATTCTATACTATTATGCTACATGAAATTCTGAAATTATAATTACACAATTCAAAAGAATTTTTAATTATTTTATTTTAAAAGTTTCTAATTTTAAATAGTGATAAGCCTTAACTAATAATTATATTAGGATTTTTACAAGAAAGTTTATTTATCTAGACTGGCTCAAATCGTACCGTTTAGCACTGCATACAGTATTCTCAAAGGTAGTGCCTCTTTATTAAGATCTGGGTGTTATTCACTGCCAATCTGGCTTAATTCTCGAATAATACCCAGGATATGACTATATTTAATTTATTACTTTATTATAATATGCTTCACATATACTGCCTGGTTCTTTACACAGTAACTACAGGTACAAAGTTCTTGAATAAGACCCATGTACTGTATGCAGTGCTATACAGTACGTATTGGAAGTCCAGAACTTCAGCCTCTTTGCATATAAAAATACACTAAAAAAAAAATACCTTATCGAAGATATACTAAATTTATCGTTTTCAATAAGATTATAATATACGTATGAATAACTATTACTAAGGTTAATAAATTTGGTTTATCTTAGAATTTTTCGATTCCTGAACTGTTTTCTAGATAGATTTCTATGATATGTTTATTCGAATTAATTGGCCAGGTAATTATAAGTTTTAAGATATAGCTGCAGGTAAAGTTAAGAAAATTTGGCAAATACTGGTGAAACAAATATAAGTAATAGCTAATAAGGCACTCAGACTATAGCGAAACTTCAAATTAATTACATCGAGATTATTACTGTATTATTTACAAAATTTGACTTTATCAGTTTTAATTAGTATTGTGTCTTAATCTAATCTGGAGATATGGTCCTAATTGTTCGGAGTGAAACGGATAACTTATATTATTTCTATGCACTTTTGATAGTAGAAATTGTCTTTCTAAGACATTTTTGATTAAGACATTAAAGACATAGTGATAGTATCTTCTGCCTGTAACGCCGCATATCCATATTATAGAAAAATATGCATGTTTGCGCATTTGGGTAATATGATTATTAATAATCTTTGGGCCTAAACTGGTTTTACTTTCTAGTATTTGAATTACGAAGTCTTAATGCCTATATTTATACTGGTAAGTTGTTTGAATCAAGTAGTTAATAAATAAATAGAGTTTGCTTAATAATTGAAACAAAATAGTACTTAGTAATGCATCATAAGTAAAGATTGTTGTTTAATGTTAACTGTATTTGAATTATTGGATATGTCTGTGAACGTGTCCACAGACATTGTTCAGTGTCCGCCATGCATCACGTGGACAATGTCTGATGACAAATTATATGCATAGACAATTCGTGGACATGGACATTAGACAATGTCCAAAAATATCCATATCCAATCTATATTTCATGGACAGTACTTATGTACAACACTGAGCTAGGATACCAGAAAAAGTTTGTAAGTATACCAGGGTTTGGATAAATTCTATAAGGGCAGTAGTAGGTAACTGTAGCAGCCTTAGCTTGCAAGTATTTGTCTTTGAACTTAGCATAAATTACCGAAGAAGACTAGGCAATATGGTAATAGTAAATATCAGACTTAGTGATCCAAATCAAAAATCGATTAATCAGTTAGTTGATCAAGTTGGCAACTAATCGATTAATTGACGATTCTCCAGTCAACTGAAGAATGATCATAGTGAAACGTGACGCGGTTCTATATTTTAAATTACTATAGGTGTGAACGTAGAAATTTTCTAGTGATTGTCCAAAGAAAACTTTTTTTCGTACTAAGTTAATCATCTTTGAGTCTCTAATTAAAG